TTGCTACAACTTTAAAAGCACAACTACAATGACGTGGGAAAATACCCGAACAAAGCTGAATGACATATATGTAAGTACCCGCGAAAACTTAAGAATATATATATATATGGCAGTTGGAAGGAAGAAGCAGCTGCAATCTCACATCACTCCGAGAAGCAAGAGCCAAAGACAGAGGCCTGATGATGATGAATGAGACTTCCTCGAAACGTTGCCTAGATACTTTGAATCTTACGCGGGAGAAAACCCGAACAACCAAAGATCCATATATATATATTATATAAAACTTATCTTCTGTAAAATGTTGTTTCACCACCACCACCCCTTTTTTTTTTTGAGAAGGTTCAAAGCAGGAAGAAATTCTCTTTTTTTGAGTTAATTTGCAATCTGGACAACATTCTACAACTAAGATGCATAAAGACCTTGGCACTCAAAGGACTTGGAAATAATCCGCCCATTGAGAACTCCATATACCTTTATCAAATTATCAGCAAGGAAAAAATCATTAAATACTTAATTGGATAATAAGTCCATAAAAATTAAATCAAATTTAGATTTTGTTCGGGCCCATCTACTACTCTGGGGAACCCAGACATCTACACAATTCTACTTAGAGTTTATTAAAGAGAAATGTTATTATTATATTTTTATCCCACCTTTTAAAATATATAACTCAAGGTGGTGAACATACCTAATATTCCTGTTTCCTATGTTCCCAACAACAACTTTGTGAAATGGTTTTAGCTGAGAGAGGGAGAGGGAGTGATTGCCCCAAAGTCACCCAGTCAGCTTTCATACCTAAGGCAAGACTCGAACTCACAGTCTCCTGGTTTCTAGACCAGCACCTTCACCACTACACCAAACTGATTCTTCTGGCATTAAATATTTTACTTGAGAATGTATAGAAGACCTTTTCAATGGGAAGATGACCATTTGATCTTTAATCAAATACTTAATACTAGGTTTTTCCTCAAGATTAAAGCTGCAGGCTAATTTTTAAAAATGGATCGGAGCACCATAAAAGAGTCCAAATTAAGCATAAAGAGTCATCCCAAGAGTAATATTGGAACCGCCATTCCCCATAGAACACTCATAGAATGATCTGTAGAAAATATAATGAGTTCAAAGCAATTAATCAGGATACTTTCTGTAATATTCATTTCAGTGTAAAACTTTCTGATGAGCTCTTCAGCATATATGTTGATAATCAGTTCAACCAGTTCAATTATTCAAAAATAATTATGCAATTCAGGTAACATTTGCAAAATTTAGTTTTCAAATGTATTTCTCCTTATTGCACGCTAATCAACAATAAAGTATTAAATTCAGGCAGTTTTGAACTAGAGTCATCATCAAAGAGTAGCGGCGGCAATCAAAAGACTGGAAAGTAGTCATCTTCAATTGGCCTAAAAACGATTCTCCTCCCGTGGATGGACAGACCTCGTTGGAAAATGGCTGGAGGAAAAGCTGGGAAGGACTCCGGGAAGACGAAAACCAAGACGGTATCCCGGTCACAAAGAGCCGGTTTACAGTTTTCTGTTGGTTGTATTCACCGGCACCTGAAATCGAGGACAACAAGTCATGGGCGTGTGGGGGCTACAACTGCCGTGTATAGTGCTGCTATCTTAAAGTACCTCACAGCTGAGGTTCTTGAGCTAGCAGGGAACGCATCTAAAGATTTGAAGGTAAAGCGAATTATTCCTCATCATTTACAGCTTGCAATAAGAGGTGATGAAGAACTGGATTCATTAATCAAAGCAACAATTGCTGGTGGAGGTGTAATCCCACATATTCATAAATCTCTCAATGGGAAAAAAGGTCAACAAAAACAGTTTAAAGGATTACTTATTAGAACTTTCAAAAAGCTATGTTGTCCATTGTTAGTGGATTTCCAATGGACTTCATCTGTGAAATACAATTTTGCCTTTCTTTAATCTTGAAGATGGAACCCATCAAGCTTTCTAATCAAAATTCTGCATTGAAGTCTTAATCTTATTTAAGTGTTACATGGCTTCAGAGAAGCTATTGTCTGTAGTGGTTCTTGACTGCTTTAGATATGTTGGATTTTAATGGGATTCTTGACATTGTTGCTAATATGTAATTTTTAATGCATTGAGTACATTTATTGAATTATACTATGACATTTAAAACAGATTTGGACATCAGCATTGCTAATTAAATGAAATTATAAAAACTTGAATTATAAAGCTTTGATGTTAATCTCTTGTAGTTAAGAACAAAAAGTTCCAAAAGAAACAAAAACAGTGCTTTTGTCTTGTACAGAATCTGAAGGAGTTAAATGAATGGATTGCTTTAAGGCAGTATGTTTGAACCATTTTTAAGATGCTGACAATGTGTATGATTAGTTTAGGTCAAGTTCTTGAAAAATACTTTACAGTAAGCTATGTATTTATATTGTTTGTTTAATTATTTGGTCCCCATTTCATGGAAGCTGCTGATCTTACTGAGTGCTAATGTGCATGCAGTGTGCTAGCACACATATAGATTAAAACCCTTGCAAAAACTGTAAAAAGAAGAAAAAAACCAATAAAGTATTAAATTCAGATTACAAATGGAATCTTTAAATGAGTGGTTTTTTTTAAAAAAAAGGAACGATTAGAGATTTTTTTTAAAAAAGAGTTATTTTGTTACCTAGTTTCTTCGTCCTATTCTGTGTTCAATATAAGTTCATTTACTCGACTTGGAAGATTTGATCTTCTTTATGTCACAACGTTGAAGAATCAAAGTTCCATTTTTAAATTTTCCTACCCGTCCTGTTGGCAATATGTTTGGTTTTGTTGTCTTCTTGGATTTTCTGTTTTTTAAAAAGAAAACGTATTTATGTATATGTACATGTTTATATAGACTGATTTTTATTACAGTGCTGACTCTTTGTGACCATATGGGTAGATTTTTGTGTTGTTTTTATATATACATACAAAACAAATGAAACTATACCTGCTTCTAGAGCAGGAGTCCCCAAACTTGGCAACTCTTAAGACTTGTGGACTTCAACTTCCAGAATTCCTCAGCCAGCATAGCTTGCTGAGGAATTCTGGGAGTTGAAGTCCACAAGCTTTAAAGTTGCCAAGTTTGGAGACCTCTGTTCTGGAGTTTGGCAATTGTATTTTAAAAATATATATTTTAATCACAACAATTGTTTCAACATTTTATCCTGAAAGTTTCAAACTATCAAGAGATTCCTATTGCTTCTGAAACTGAACCACTGTTTTATATTTGCCCAGTCCCATTTAGTGACAAACATTAATTATTTCTCTTTGCACTTCGCACACAGGGAAAAAAAAAGAGAGAAAGGCTAAAGGCTCAGTCATTTAATGCCCAAACTACAATATTGTTTAGCACTAGATATGAAAAAAGCTTAATATTTACAACTAAAATAAATACAAAAATAAATCCAATTTATTACACTTTGTTTATATTAGATTGAAATCTTGGCTCACCTCTCTTCATGCCCTTTCTTTTTTCTCCTCTTCAGAGAATCAGATTTATTTTCCTGATAATGAAAATAGGAATAGGAGCATGAATATTCTAATTGGTCATTTACCACACTTTCCATAAATCAGAGATGGTCCCCAAATGTAATGGAAACTGACTTCAATTTGTTGTTAGAATTTCCTGTAGCTAAATGGTCAGGTCTTATTGGAAACCATTGTACTAGAGCTTTCCTACTTGATTTTACGTTTTATTTTTAGATGAAATATTTCACACAAACCGTCATATTTTCTCTCTTCTTTGCTGCTTGTTTTCCTTTGATTTGCTCTTGAAGAATTTTGTAGTTCACATATTCCTTTTTCAGAGGCTGCAATAAGATTTTAATAACTCTATTTCAGTATTTTGTAAAAAATGCACCCCAAAAAAGAGAGAGAAAAGTTCATAGTGACAATAAAATCATGCATAATGATGGTTCTTTAAGTGCTAACATGATTCAATTTGATGCTTTCAATAGAAATATGGTTAAAATAAGTCTTATCAATGAGGAAGCTATGATCTTTAGGAATATGGCTATTTACTGTTCTCATTTCTTTGAGAAGATGGGATGCTTTGAGACAACATTTATGTAGATAATGTTTGACAGAAATGTAAACACCACCTTCCCTATTTCCTAAGTCTTAATGTAAATGCATTTCTGGCAGTACAAATTCAAGAGGCAAAAAGCTGTATTACATAAGATTTCTAAATATGTTCAATAGTAAAGCAACATTTTAAAACAATTATGCAACCACTCACATTTACATATTAAGAGCTCCCATATATATTAGTGAATAAGTTGGAAATATCAAGTGCAATACACCCCCCAAATTCAGGTTTGATGTTTGTGGATGAGCTTATCCTCAAGTGTATACGGTAATACTTCTAAAAAGTATTTTAAAGTGCCGTATTTCTTTTATGTACTGTATTTGTGGATAAGTCCATCCACAGATAAGCCAACCTTTGGATTTTTAACCTAAAATACCATAAAAAATGTGTGTAGATTTACCTATGGGCGGTGCATTTTTCATACTTCAATTAAAAATTCAAGAGCTGGCTTATACCCAAATATATTCAGAAGTACTAGTTTTGAAATTTTAAAAGGAATTTAATACAGAAAATCTGGATGAAGAGTGCTACGTTGCTCATCCACAATTTATTTCTGAAATTTCAAACCTCTCCCATACCCTCACTGCCATTTTAACTCCATTTGAAAACAGCAGCAACAACAACCAGGCAAAGGCTTTGGCAATGGGAAAGCTTTAAAGTCTCCTCTTCTGTAAATCACCTCTCGACTCACAAGAAAGTGTCATACCTTGGCCCCCAACCTGACAGCACGTTCTTGCTCCAATACTCTCTGTTCTTTCTTTGTAAATCCTGTAATTCCAAGCCGGTGCACTTCCAAGCGGGCCTAAAACATTTGCAAATACATTTGATTTTTTTCCCCCTTTAGTCTTTTGTAATTCTGCTTTTCAACAAACATAAGCATACAAGCTGAAGTTTCACAAGAAACACATTTGAAGAATTGCATAACACATCATGCCATCATGTTTCATAAGCAGATGAAACGTTCTGTACCTGCTTTCACAGACAATAAAAAACTTGAGGGATTTTTTTTTTGAGTCAACAATTGCCAGATTCATATGTTAACTGCAAAATGTGATTTCAAATTTTGGTCCTGGACAATCGACAAACTGATAAGCTGCATCTTAGGGGGATGTGTGTGAAATCCAAATTCCAGCAATTGATATAACTTATATCATTTGTGTCATTGTCTAATTGTAATAATCTGTGAGAATATCTTTCAGAGAAGCGGGAAAAGGAATAAAAGGCTAAGTCAAGTAAGAGGCAGCTTTGTCTCATAAACCAGACTTTCGACAACTATTTGGAACGGTCTGCAATATTTGAGGCCTGAAACCAGAGTCATGCCCTCAGACACTCTTTGTTAAATGTTTGACATTAAAGAGTTTCCCAGTGGCAAATCTATCACATGCTTCTAGTTTCTTAAGATACCCAAAATGAACAAAGAGAAGGACAGCAATCTGTATCTGAAATGAATGAACCGTCACATCAAAAATCTGGATGGAAACCTGAAATCCTGCATAGAATAATACTCCAGAAAATGGAATTCCAATCCCTGCCTATCCTCACATTCAGTATCTTTATAACACAGAGAAAGTTCTCGAGCTTCAAATATTAGGAGGCCCAGTAATAAAAGAACTTTCCATTTAGCCAGAATGTTCAGGTGATGATTGCCATGGTCTTATAAATAATGAAAACTCAATTTGGGTTTTGGTTTCAGGCCTAAAATATTGTAGATCTTCCTAAATAGTTGTGGAAAGTCTGGTTTATTGGGGGAAAATGGTAGGTTTGTGGCCTGGTTAATGATCTATGGACAATTCTGTCTTTTAGCCATCAAACTATATGTACATCAAATTAACTTACTTTGTCCAAGCGAAATTCTTGGGTGTCCATACATGGTTCTTCAGCATCCATTTTTGCCTAGGTAAAATTTAAAACATAAAATAGTATGTTTTGCTATTAAGTAAGATTTTTCAAATTATTTCCTATCGACGGCTTAAGACTGAACTTTGTTAGAGCAAGATGTTTTGAATATGATGATGGTTACAGAACTCTGAATATAGAAAACTACATTATTTAAACAAACACATCAATGCTCTATTTTAGATTAATCTGACAGCAAATCTCAATTCAATGGGACTTTTGAATATGCACGATAGACATGTACAAAAGACATGCTCTGGATCTTTAAAAAACTAAATAGGGTATCCATAAATATTAATTTTAAATAGTTTGCTTTATTGTCTGGTAGCTTTTGTAAGCTACACTTTCCTGATAAAAAGTTGTAATTCAAGTATACAACACATAAAGAATAAGAATTTAGTTACAGAATATAAGAATTTAAACAAGAACATTATAAAGCATGTAATATATTTTATTACAATGAATTGAAAAATTACATGCTTGTAAATTTGTAGAATATGCCCTTTAACACCTGCCATCTGGAAAACAAAATGTATTAGCATGTCTGCTGAAAAATGAACTAACTAAAATATAATTATGTACACAAAAACCTTGATTTTCCCTATGAGAACTTACACATCATGTAAATATAATTTAAACGTGTGGGCCTAAAGAAAAAAAATGAAGAGATTAACAATCCTGATAGAGATTCCATTTTATTCTCATTACACAAGCCAGTTTGGTATAAGAATTAATCACTAGGCTAAAATTAGGAGATTTGAATTCCAGTTTCACCTTAAGCACAAAATCCAGTCATTCTCTCTCTCAGCCCTGAGAAGGAGAAAATGTCTAACCACTTCTGATAAATGCTGCTGAGAAAATTTCAGGGACTTGTCCAGCCATTCTCCAAGGAGTCAAGACTGACTTGAAGGCAAAATCTTATTATATCTGAGAGCTGTAGAGCATGGTGAAAAATGAACTAACTAGATCATTGAACGTTTATCTTATAAAAGTCTTTGTGCAAAGCTCAGTTCAGTTGATAAATGATTCAATTAGCTGTGCCCCAAACTAAAAGGAAATCTCAAGGACACGAATAGTTGGTATAGATTCAGCCTGTAACCAAATCTGATCAGAAAAAGGCAACTTATTTAGCAATTATGATGTAACACCAAACAGGATGAGAACCCAAATACTTGCCCTAATTACATCCAGCAATCCTGTATTAGCATTTTAAATGTTAGTATTTCACCATTTTAACAGCATTAACACATTAGCGTGTGCTCCTTTACCTTCCTCAGGAACACTGTGAGGAAACATCATTTGTTTCCAATTTCTTTTAGTCACAAGTTATTATGCAATCCAATTCCTTGACCATAACTAATCTTGTGGGATCCAATCTGGGTCCGACACTGTAACCAGAAGTTTAGTCTTCTGAGTAAATAACTAATCTTAACTTTGTCAATTCAAACATGGCAGTATCATGCTATACAAGCTGGATCTAGAACAAACCCTTCTAAAAGAAAACTGCAGGAAAACTTCCAACACAACAGGCTGTTTCTGCTGGTAGAATAGAGAAAAAAAACACCTCAAGATCAATTCCCTCTCCAGTACATGGGGGCTATGCAACTAAAGAGAAAAATCTGTGAAAAATGGCTTTTCCACGATGGGAACATTTTGACTGAACTGAGCTCTTTTTTGCTGGGTGAACTATGGAACAACAAAAATGCATTCAATTTAAAGCCATTTTTTAAAATTAAAAAAAAAACTGCAAGTAATCCTTGAGTTAGGACCACAATTGAAACAAGGGATTCAACCTGTGTTACTATTGGTTCGGTGATTACGTTTTGCGCACGCATGTAAAAAACCTTAAGTTGGGATGCCCAGACAGCTGAAAAGTGCTGTGCGTGGGTGCACAGCATTTGAAAAGCCACTTTTTCCCTGCTTTTTCAACCTCAACTGTGCCACGCAAAGCAGCTGAGGTTGAAAAAGCAGGAAATAAAGGACAGGTAAGAGCCCAGGCAGGTGGGTGGGCCAAACAGCAGCAAACACAGAACTGGTTCACTGTCTGCTGCTCTTCAGAGCTACCGGTTCTATAGAGCCAGGCAGCACCAGTAGCATCCCACCCCTGAATTGAAACCAGAATTTCGATTGCTAAGCAAGGCGGTTGTTAAGTGAGTCACTCACAATTTTTTGGCTGTGGCTGTTAAGGGAAACACTGACGTTAAATGAATCATGTGTGTCGTTAAGCGAGTCTGGTTTCCCCCATGGATTTTGCTTAGAAGCCAGCTGGGAAGATTGCAAATGATGACCACATGAGCCTGGAAGGCTGCAACCATCCTAAATACATGCTGCTAGTTGTCACTGCCCCAAATTCTGATCACACGATCATGGGAATGCTGTGACAATTGTAAGCGTGAGAAACAGTTCCAAGTCATTTTTTTGAGTGCCCTTGTAACTTCAAATGGTCATTAAGTGAAGGGTGGTAATTTGAGAACTACCTGCAACAGCACTATAGGCAACCTGTTGTTCTATATTTGGATATAACAAAGAACCTGAGTTAAACTAAAAAAGAACACAATCTTCTGAATCTCCTCCTTATGACCACACCTAAATATCAGAGGAGGAAGGAGATGCCCATAGCTCAGAACAATATGGGCCTTAAACATCAGGTTGTTTCACATGATAGGAGTGGCTTATGGTGGCTTACCTGTTTTTTAAGTTTTCTAAGCCAAAAGGACGCAGCGTGTTAAGCAATAAAACAGGCAACGCTTTCAATCTTTTTACCATTAGCCACAGTACTCAAAGTAAGAGAATGCTGGGGAGCGTTAAGTAAGTAAGAGTAAGTAAGGCTGTGAATGATTTTGGAGTTAAGAAGAAAACGGTTTCCTTTCTGCGTGACAGGTTGAAATTTTGGTTTATTTAAACTGTTTGCTTTAGGAAGGTTACATTTCTTGGGTGCTAATGAAAACACTGTGATCATGTTGCACTTTCTTTCCCAAAAATCGCCAAACACAAAAGTGTGCATTGTGCAAGTACATTACCGTGGTGCAATAATGCTGAGGAAGGAGCTTTGATTTTTTTTTTCTTGCTGTTACTGTATTGTTGAAGTGAATGTGTTGCTGGCCTCGGTTTTGTTGCTGTTTAAGCAGACTGTTTAAGTATTCCTAGTCGGTGCTCCTTCTTAGCAACCAAAATGTATTTAATTATTTTTAAACAAGAGTAATTACCTTCATCAGTTTTGCATCACTATATGTAGCAGGTCATATTCATTATACACACCTACTTCTACGGTCTTAAGACAGGACTATTTTTTCATCTTGCGTAAGCCTCTAATGATTGTCAACACTTGACAATTATTAAACATGTGATTCTATAGTCAGTAAATTGGCATAGATTAAACAAGCTTTATGGAGAATTATATTTGTCTATAGAATTTTAATTATGATTCCCTCTGAATTCTATTCTTTTTATAATCCCCCTTGGCTTATAATGTAAACCAGTACTCCAAAGCTTTAAACACTTGAGTATAAAACACGATAATAAAATTGTAATTATCTGTCAAAAAGAAGGTCAGAATTCATTCATACAGTATATTTCTAAAATTCGGGTTTTCTTTCTTTTTCCTATCTTGCACTTTCTTTTCTTCGTCTGAATAGTTTTTTATTCAATGTAAAATTCTTAATAAAACTAATTTTAAAAACTAGTCTGAACCTTAAAAGCTGACAATAAAACTCTGGCAATTAAAGTCATTTGGCTCTTGCTTAATTTTTTTGAAATACTGGTATTTGGCAATAACAGCAAGCATGGAATTCTACTACTACCTGTTTGTGAGTCAGTTCCAAACCAGTTTTGTAATTGGTGGATCCCATGTGGTAGTTTTAGATTTAAAATAGATACTGGGAAAGAATAGTCTAGAAACACTGAGAAATGAAATAGTACCACATTATAATTCCCATCATCTCAACAAGATTTGCAAGATTGTTGAAACAAACAAAAAATTCTGTCAATAGATTAGATTGGGCATTGGACCGCAAAAGTCAGGACAAAGGTCATAAAATATAAAAGAAGAATATCACAGAATTCTAATTAAATTTTATCTCAATTTTCCACAACTGCTATTTCCTGCAGAAGTCCAATAAGTGAGTGGTCTGGTTTGATCTGATTTGAACAAATTTTGCCTTGCCTTTAGAAGTTCAAATTTGAGTATGGCTCTGTCCACTTAGGCATCTTATTTGAAAGCACAACCTTATCATAGTCTCCTACTTTGTCCAATACAGAAAATTATGACTAGTTTCAAAGAAAATAATTTAGGGTTACCAGATCTAGGCTGCAAAAATTCAATTAGTCAAGAGACGGTAGCAAAAATATAAATAAATATTTTATTAGTGTCTGGGTGGTTATGGTTATTTCTACAGACCAGGCTGGGTAGGTCAATTCAAAGTTGAATTAATATATGGACCTGTTTTGGAGCTGGTACAACATCTCAAAGAAAATAAAAAGCTATGAATTAATCAGAAGTATCCTGATATCAGGGTGGGGGGCGGGCACAATGGCTCAGTGGTTAGAAGATGCTGAACTGAATTATTACTCATCTTGTAAAGAGAAGAACAAACAGGTTGTGTGTTGCGGCAAAATGCTACCTTGCAATTAAATGTGATATAATTTTAACTGCATATACGTATTTATGAACATTGTGCTATGAAGAATTCCCATATAGTAAAAAAGACTTGCAAATATTAATTTACTTAGCCAACTAAATTATTCTTAAACGAACAGAGTATATTCACAAAATGAAAAGTCCTTTCTTTCTCTTTGGTCATATGGTGATAATGTAGGCAGGCAGATCAGTAATGTTTTCATGGTGATTTGCAATTATTTTTGAGAAATCCCTTTTATAAAATGAATGTTCTGCTTCAAAACATGAGGGAATGAAATATGAACGCCTTACCTTTAAGTCATCACTTCCAGGAATTTCAAGTTTAGCTTTCTTTTTTGTGTGTCGACCCAGGAATGTTACAACTTCAACCTGTGTTGCCTTTTCTTCCTGGGCACTTTTGAATGGGAATGGATGAGGGGAACTGGAACCCGAGACACATTTTTTCTGATTAACACTTGCTAGTTCATCTTTCAGATTGTCAAAGAAGTTGGACACATTTTTATTCTTGCCCAAAGATGTACCAAGTTCAGGATTGGCAAGTGATATAGCAGAGGTGGCCACTGTTGCTGTTATCTGTTGAGAGTGTCTTTTCTTGTTCCTTTTCTTTTTGCATTTCTCTGGTGGTGACTCACCTGTAGTTTAAAAACAAACATATTCAACTCCTTGTTCCATTCAGCCCAGAAGGAACTAAATATCCTATGTTTTGGACATTTAAATTATGTGGATATTTTACTTTTATCAAACAAAAATCAAATGAAACATCTCCCACTTAAATTGGTAGCAATGTACACATTTTATCATGCTCAGAACTCAGAATTCAATGTTCACATTCACAAATTGCAGTATTAAGTGCTACCAGTATAGCCTCAAGTGTTAGCAACCATGTAGGTAAGATTTTCTCCAGGATGATCTGTCTTCAGTCTAGCCTGTTAGACCTTACAATGGTGCATTCTGCTGTTGTAATCAAGCCCATTGTTGTCTGTCTGCCTCTTTTTGTTCTTTCTTTCCACTTTTCCAGAATTATTGACTTTTCAAGGGAGCTGAGCCTTCACACAATGTGCCCAGAGAATTATAGTTCAAGCCTCATCATTTGTACCTCAAACAAGAATTTGGGACTGATTTGTTCTATGATCTAATTGTTTGTTTTATTATTATTTTTTGTGTGTATTCTCAAAATTCTATTCCAGGGGTCACCAACCTTTTGGACCTCAGGGACCACCAACTCATAATTTTAGATCCCAGGGACCACGAACCTGGTTCTGTGGGTGTGGCCTAATTTGTGGGTGTGGCTTGGTGGTCAGGTGACTGGCTGGGCATGGCTTGTATGTAAATATTATAAATATGTATATATATATTGAATTTTTTATTTAAAAAAAAGCAACTTTTACCCAAAATCAGGCAAAGCAGGCAGACTGAGTTGCTCACAGAATCACAGATTCATTCAGAGATCTATCTATCTGCCATTGGCTAGCTCAGTCTCTCAAATTTGCTTGCCAAGTCTGAACTGAATTTACTTGCAAGCAAACCTTCAGTCCTAAGGGAGGTTTGGCTGTACTGAGCAGAAGATCTAAAGACTAGCTAGAAAACGAGAAATCTAACCATTTCCTGCTTCCTAGCTAATCTAAATCTCCTGGCATAGCAGAACAGATGATGGTCGGAAAAAGGAAAAATAGCAATTTAGCAGGCAAGTTTACCGGGTAAGGAGTGAGTGGGTGGGGAGGGTTCCCATGGGTCATTTGGGCAGCTCAGCCTTGTGTTTCTGCACAGCCTGGATTAATTGCTTTGTGGGGGTGCTCTGGGGGTGAGATTTCCTGCATCCCACCAAAATTTTCTCATGGCCCACTGGTGGGCCACGGCCTACCGGTTGGCAATCGCTGCTCTATTCCAACACATTTTTTCACAAATCTTGCTGAGCCATTTTGTTTTATTTTTAAAATGTACTTCTTATAAGCTCTTAAACATTGTGAGAACATTCTTGGTTCTGGCAAGATAACGTTAAAGTTATCTACTAGGAACAATTTGGCACATTCATGTGGATAGCACAGGAGATAGATTCTACTTTTATCCAGAATGTTTTAGTAAGTACTAACATGGGTGTCATGTATACTGATGTTTACATTTCATACATATGAACTCATAAATACATGAATTGTAGCAGATGCCAGGACCTTGTTGTCCTTGGCAGAACTTTTTTAAGCCAAGCGAACTTGGACCTGGTTATTATTTGTATGAGAGAATATCAGGAAATTTCTAGGCTAAACTAAAAAGTGTCCTGAAAGAAGGCAATGGAAAGCAAATCCGTACTGTTGCCATAAAAGCAGAAGCATTTTTGTGTACTTGCTAGGAACTGATGCATTGGGGATCTGTATTTATTTTTTGTAATTTTAATTGTTCTTGTATTTATAATTGTTTTTAAATTTCTATTTTTATTACATTATAAGCCGCCCAGAATAATTCCAAATACTGAGTTGGGAGGCATATAAATTTAATAATAAAATAAAAATTGAGCTCAATAAGACCTTTTTTATTTATACATCTTTGAATATATATATATATATATATATACTTTCATATTTGTTATTGTATATAAATTTTAGCTAAACACTTTAACAAGCTTACAGTTGAACATTTTCATTTGTGTAAAAGTATTTTAGAGCCTAGGTGTGGATACGTGGAACAATGAAAAACACAGAACCTTCTGTAACAACTTAAAGGGGATCCATACATAGCTACATTAATAGAATATACAGAATAATTTACCTAGTGTATCTCCTTATCATCCACAGATCATTGAGCACAACAACATATCAAACATGAAAACATGTTTGGTATGGTACTTATTGTATTTTTGAAGAAATTATTTTCAAAACTAATTTGCAGGTGTGAAAATGTCAAGAAACTGAAATTAGGACCTGTGGGGTGAGTATTGGAACTGGGTTTCTGCCCAGAATAAACAAAAGATAGATCCCATAAAACTGGGGTCTCCAACCTTGGCAATTTTAAGCCTGGCGGGCTTCAATTCCCAAAAGTCCGCCACACTTAAAGTTGCCAAGGTTGGAGACCCCTGCCATAAAACATATGTTACCTTGTTGCTTAAAAGCTCTCTAGGATTGACGGGTCTAATTAAGACTGGTTGGTTTCAATGGCCGGAAAGTGGGCGTTTCGAATCGCTTCGCCTTGCTTTAAAGAACTACATTACTAAAAACCATCAGTGCAACTATAACACGTGAAGGCTTCTCAGCTCTTCAAGATTTCACTTCTACCAGCTCCCCCTTCTTTCCAGCATCCATTTCATTGCGCCAGCCCCTTGCTCCGCATAAATATTTTTAATACAGTATTGGGAGCAGGAGATGGCTAAGAATCCGGCACGGGAAAGGAAAAAGGGGGAGTAGGGGTCCGACGACAAGAAAAGGGGGACGCAACACCGAAACCCATCGTCCCTGGGAAAAATCAAGATTCGAGAGCACCTACCGAAGTCATACAGGGAACCGAGGACGGTATCCAGCAACCTTTCTGCAAAAGCGAAGTCTTCCTTCTCGTCCTCTTTGGGCGACGGGCTCTGCCCGCCCGCGCTTCCCACCATGCCGCTTCTTTTCCCCTGCCCTTCCCCTTCCTTTCCCGCAAAGGCGATCACCACCCCAGAGGAGGTTTGGCCCCGCGCGGAGACCGTCGCGGTCAAGATGGCGGCGCCCACCTGGTACTTCCGCCCTTTTTCCCCGAGTGACAGATTCCCTCCTCCGGCTGGCTTCGCAAAGCAGAGCGGCGTGGGCGTCGACAAGCAGGGGTGGGTGGATGGGTGCTACCGGTAACCGGCGGAGGGAGCCAGCCAGACGAGAGTGAGTACAGCCGGGCACCCCGGCAGGAGAAAGCAGCCTGGCGATGGCCACAGCGGCCGGGGCAGCCGCTCGGCGCGGCCTCCCTGTATACTCGGTGAGTAGCTGCTTCCCGCTTTGGGACGGGAGAGACGGGGCGTGTACACACCCCTTCCTGGGCATCTTTGCGATTGTAGTAACGGGACAGCCGCTTCCTTTTTTGGGCTGGAAGAAGCGTGTACTGCAATGGTTGCCTGGCGCTCAGCAGCTGCAGCGGCGACCGTCGTTCCCGTCCAGTATTTAAAGCCTGTTCCGATAACCTTTTCTTCTAGTTGTGTCGAGCCACACTTTTTGCATTCTGGCTGGGGATGGTGGGAGTTGTGGTTCCCCACTGCGAACCAACATCGGGCTGGGCAAGGCTGCCACAGGCACCCGTGCTTTGCCTCCCATATGCATGGATTCAAGGCTTGTTTGCATTTCTTTGTACCCGTGTTGTTGTTCTGGAGTAATGCAGAACCCGTTAATTGGAATGATCACATTATTAATAAGACAAGCTTTGCCTTGAAAAATATAATAGGGGCTTTAAAACGTTACGATCTTTTGCCGTGTAAAATAAGAAAATAAGCTGTCGGTGTGAAACAGTGCATGTAGGTGTTGATTGCTGAGCAATGTGTAATCTTATATACATTTGAACAGTTTCGATACAGTTGATACAACTAATGCTTTAATCACAGATATTACTCAGATGATAAAATGGTTGTCCAGACTTATGTTCAAAATATATAGTATGCTGAATGTTCTTTTTTTTTTTTTAAAGGCATATAGGGTATAAATAAGATGCAATGTTTATTGTGGTGGTTAAGATGTTAGACAGGAAGATCAGGTTAAAATCTACCCTCATTGGGTGACTTTGAGTCAGCCACTATTCCTTAAAGTCTACTCTCAACCAAATTATAGAGCTATTGGTGTGCTGTTTTCAACTACCGAAGAAAAGGTGAGAAATAAATTTAACAAATACCGGTACGTTAGTAAACTTTTATTTTATATTTCTTTATTCTTTATATTGCCACCAAAAACAAACCATTAGGCTAGAGAGTATTGTTTTGTAATAGTCTATTTTCTATTCAGCATTTCAGCATGTGTGATCTCGATGGAATAATATGAGATTTATCAAATGCTTATCAAAAAGTAATAGATTGCCGACTCAATCATAATGTAGGAGGGGTTAGTATCTATAAATACTGATGCTTATAATTCAGAAATACTTTAAATATTTAATAACCCCATCTCAAAATAATTACAATAGGAGTAAGGAATGACATCACAAAACTGATATATCCATGTGATCTTGGAAGAATCTCTAGCAACCAAAAAGTCTTGAAGTCCTGACAATTGCTTCAATATCTTTAGAGATATTAGATTACATAAGTTTGTCATACGTATGTTTAATAATCTATATATGATATATAGAGAAAGCCAGTTTGGTGTGGTTAAGGCATCAAGGTAGAAACTGAGTTGTAGTCCTGCTTTAGGTATACAACTAGCCGAGTCACCTCGGGCTAGTCATTTTTCATAATCCTAGGAAGAAGGCAGTGGCAAACTACTTCTGAAAAACCTTGCAAACAAAACTACAGGGACTTGTCCAGGCAGCCTCTGAGATTTGGACATGACTGAACAGAAGAAAAAATATATCTTGCTGTCCCAGTGGAACAGGGAAGCTAAATGCATACTGTGAGTGTTGTACTGCTGGTAATTGGAAAATGTGTAAATACTTCCACAGAGTCCCCTTGCTCTTCTCAGTGCTAATGGGGATATGATTGTGCTTTAACTGAGTGGTTTTTCTAGTCTGACTTGTGCAATCCTTCATTCTCAGATATTATTAATAAGCATCCTTCCCTTCTCTTCCCAAGAAGTGAATGCTGTATTATAGCATACAGGTAGTCTTTGACTTACAACCACAATTGAGCCCAAAATTTCTGTTGCTAAGTGAATTTTGCCCCATTATACAACCTTTCTTGCCATGGTTGTTAAGTGAATTACTGAAGTTGTTAACACAGTTGTTAAGTGAATCTGGCTTCTCCATTGACTTTGCTTGTCAGAAGGTCACAAAAGGGATCACATGACCCTGAGACCCTGCAACCATCATATATATGAACCAGTTGCCAAGCATCTGAATTTTGATCACAGTCTGACCATGGGGATACTCCAATGGGTGTAAGTATGAAAAATGGTCATAAGTCACTTTGTTCAGTCCTGTTGTAACTTTGAATGGTCACTAAATGGACTGTTGTAAGTCAAGAACGGGAAGATTTCAATAGTGCCACTGAAGGAAACAGAACTATGCATCTCTTTGGGTATTCATTAATGCAAAATTAAAAATTCTCTGGGCAGAGCAGTACAGTGACAAATGCAGATTATGCACCTCAGTTTTGGGAAAATATATCTAAGGAAGTTATCAAGACTTTTTTTTATATGGAGTCACAGTATTACATCATCATGTTACCTATTCAGATTAAGAATGGCTCTTCAGAGTTTTGGGCAGCAGCTCCTTCTCACCCTGTGAGATTTGAAAGTGGAAATGTCAGGGTTTGGACAAAGATGTTGTTGGGTATTCTGTTTCCAAATTGTGAAAAAAAGATCTGAACAACAGATTAAAAGTGCCAATTACATAATCGCACGACTGATGGATATTTGAATGTTGCAATTATTTAATACATATCCATTCTTTCCAATGGTCAGTTAAAGCTATGTTTTATTGTGTCGGTGTGCCGTTAAACTCTGTGATGCCCAGAAACAATCTAGTATAATAGTTGGATATTCAGTTATAACAATAATAATAACAGCAATAGCACTTAGACTTATATACCGCTTTGTAGTGCTTTCCAGTCCACTCTAAGCGGTTTACAGAGTCAGCCTATTGCCTCCAACAATCTGGCTCCTCATTTTACCCACCTCGGAAGGATGGAAGGCTGAGTCAACCTTGAGCCTGGTGGGATTTGAACTGCTATTTGAATAATTTGAATAAGTATTTGAATAATCCTGGCTTTGAGATTATTTTTATTGAAAAAAGGATAAAATCTGTTAGAAGTATAAGTAGTCCTTGAATTATGAGTGTAATTCAGCCCACAATTATGGTCTTAAGTCATGATGGTTGCAAAACGGATCACCATGCAGCCAGACCTGATTTTGTGAGCTTTTTCACGAGAGTCGTTAAGCAAATGCTGCGGTTCTTAAATGCTATGGAGTGGGTTTTACCAGTAACCAGAAAAATGCTGATTGCCAGCAAAAATGTTGTAAATCATAATCATGTGACCACAGAAAGCTTCTGTAAATGTGACCTGGTTGCCTAGCACCCAAAATGTAGTCAAGTGACCGGGGGTGGGGGTGGTGTTGTAACTTCAAAACCAGGTTGTAAGTCCCATTTTTGGGGTACATTGTAAATTTGGTCATATGTCGAGAACTACTTGTAAAGGCAGTTGCAGTAAAATGATTCTTTTATTTTTTTTGTTTGGAACCTGGCTTAGGCTTTTAAAAGCAAAAATAATAGGAGAAGAACATGCAATTCTTCAAATTTATGTAAATACCAAACATCTTCTCACCACTCTTTTTAACCTTCAGAAACTAATCTCTAAATTCAGTTCTTTCATGTCTCATGTCAGATTATATTGTAAATCTGAGGGTGTCTCCCATTCTTTTGTTAATTGGTTTAGGAGGCAGAGATTGCTTGAAAGATACAGATACATTAAATAAATCCCAGTAAAGTTGGGTAATTTGTTTCTGAATCCTCTTTCTCACACTTGTATCATATTTTAATACTTTTAAGGAACTCTACTAATGTTAGGGATTTTACTTAGACTCTACTAATGCAATCTTCTATGTACTCGTCTATGTACATAAATACATGTATAAGTTCCTTTAAATTCAATACTACCTACTATCAGTAAGTAGTTATAGATAACTTTATGATCCCAGGAATATTTGGTTCAGAGTGTGCCTTCTTCCCCGCACATGGATCCCCTGAGTGTAATAGTGTTCTTCAGAGCAGAATACCAGATCTTGAAGATTATGTAAACGTTTTCCACTTCTTCTGGGTTCACATTATGAGGATTTTAGCATTCTATGAACTTTTAAAGTTGGAGTTCTTCCAATGTGCGAGTGGGATGCAAATAGGAGGAGACTGTGTTATAGAACTAGCCAGGTTTAATGTAGCTTCAGATGAAGGAAAGAAGACCTGGCGGTATCAGTAGGATACATTTTCTAGAATGTGTAGATGCCAGAAATAATCCCTTGTGGCTCATTTGTGTGAGTCAACTACATCTTACAAATTGACAGTAAATATTACAAAAGTATTGCATAACTTTTATCACCACAAATCTTAAAAGCTGAACAAAATCGTTCAAGCTGCCATATCTACCTGGAAATAAATCTGCTGTGGTTGCTAGGACTTATTTGATGTGCCTAAATGACTTAAAGCATGGTTTCTATTTGATTGTCTTTTTGAATGTAGGGTAATTCTGTAAACTCAGGTTTAAGATTGGCTTTCAGATCCTGGTTTCTGGAGAGATACAATAAACTACAACTCTACATTAGAACATAAGGACCAGTTTGGTGTAATAGTTTGAGGTAGGAGGTTAGAAACCAAGACACTGTGTTTTAGTCCCTCCTTAGGCACAAATACCTGCTGGCTAACTTGTGGCCAGTCACCCTCTCTTAATCCTAGGAAGAAGGCAGGGATCAAACCACTTCCAAAAATGATGTCAAGGAAACTACAGAACTTGTCCAGGCTGACACCAAGAGTCAACACAGACTTGAAGGCAAGGAAGGAAGGAAGGAAGAAGGGAAGAAAATAAAACAAATCATAATGCTTACTTCTCTCTCTTTATTTGGTTGC